TATATATATATATATATATATATATATATATATATATATATATATTATTAGTACCAAGTTTTTTGTTTGTTTGTTTGTTTTGCTGGAGTCCGGTCATGGGGCCTGAACTCTGGGCCTGGGCGCTGTCCCTCAACTCTTCAGTTCAAGACTAGCCTGCTCTACCACTTGAGCCACAGCGCCACTTCCGGCTTTTTTCTTTTTGCTTATGTGGTGCTGAAGAATCGAACCCAGGCCTCATGCATGCAAGGTAAGCGCTCTACCACTTGAGCCATGCCTCTAAACCAGCTTTTGGCGGATATTTTGGAGTGGACTCTTGAAGACTTCTCTGCCCAGTCTTGGCTTTGAAACTTGATCCTCCTGATCTCAGCATTTTAAGTAGCTTGGATTATATGCATGAGTCACTAGTGTGTCCGGACAATGTCCCTTAAGTGTTAACTGACTCTACTAGTAAAAAGAAAAAGAAAAAAAAGTTTCTAGATGTTTCCCAGTCCTCCAGATTGAATTTTGTTCTGTCAAACCTAATGGACTCATCCCTGAATAATAAAATTTGAGAATTCCGTACACTGCATATTCCTACCCAATGGGTCTCAACTCTGAATACATATCACAGTCAGATGGCCTACTTTTTGAAGATACAAATGTATGGGCCCCAAACCAATGAAGTTAAAATCAAATTCAATGTTAGCTTTTCCTCTTACCATGGTTATGTATAATTTGGGATTACGACTAAGACAACCTATAAAGACAATGGTATGGTCTAGATTTCTGTCATCCTAGCTACTCAGGAGGCTGAGATCTGAGGATCACCATTCAAAGCAGACTTTCCTTGGCAGGAGAGTCTGTGAGACTCTTATCTCCAATTGACCACCAAAAAGCTGGAAGTGGACCTGTAGCTGAAGTGGTTGGGCAAAAAAAAAAAGCCCAGGGACAGCACCTAGGCCCTGAGCTCAAGCCTTAGGACCAGCCTCTTCCTGTGGAAAAAAAAAAAAAGAAAGGGAAAAAAAGTTGGAAAGACCTGACCAAAGAAGGCTTTCAGTGGGAGAAATATCTTAATTTGGGCCTCCCTTTGGAAAGTATTTGGGAAATTAGGAGGAAAAAAATTAATCCAGGAAGAAACTTTTTGAGTTCCCACCATAGCTCCGTGTTCATTCCTATATCTATCTACTTACTCCTGGAGACAGATATCACAGGAAATCATGCTGCATATGGTTATTTTTATTTCCCCTGTGACAGATACTAAATGGGCATAAATGATTTGGTATTCTTGCCATGAAGAAGTGGGGCCTAGTTCTCTTCCTCTTGAATTTGGGAAGCAATTGGTGACCTGCTTGACCAAGATATGTTGGCAGTATAGGAATATTTGGGAATTTCCAAGACTGGATCATGCTTAGAAGTTCTCAGATGTCCAGATGTCTGGTGTTCCAAATGGTGCAGGATTTTGGGAAAGTTTGTTTTCAGACTCCCAGCCCTTGAGAGATCAATCAGTCACCATGCCAGAGAGAAAGCCAAGATACATAGGAAGTCCAAATGTGGACAAAGAACTACAGCTGAAGCCAGGTGTCAGTGGCTCACACTTGTAATCCAAGCTATTTAGGAGGCTGAGATCTGAGGATCACGGTTGGAAGACAACAGGAGCATGAAAGCCCGTGAGACTCTTATCTCCAATAAACTACTCAGAAAAAGCAGGAAGTGGAGCTGTGGCTCAAGTGGTAGAGCACCAGCTTTGAGCACAAAGAGGCGCAGGGACAGATCCTAGACCCTAAATTCATGCAATAGCTGATCACCCAGGCAACAGCCAGCATCAATCAACTGCCAGTCATGTGAGCAGCACCCTAGACATTCAGTATAGCCCTAAGATGATAACAGCCCCAATCTACATCTCACTACAGCCGCACCAGCTTCCAAGTGAGAACCAGCCATCTGAAACCAGTCAACACACAAAACTGAGAGACAAGCAATACATTTAGGGATATTTATCTAAACAGAAATACCCCTTTGGCTTGTATTTTATCTGTGGTAAGATAGTGGAAAGAAGTCTTATGCTTCCTTTCAGTATCATTATCCTTATGGATTTTTGAAGTATTTGCTTGAAATCAAATACTCACTCTATCATCTGTTCACATTTTTCAATGGGGAAACAAAGGCTTGATGTTATATAAATTGTCCAGGGTTACATTAATCCCTCATATACAGTTTACACTTTAAAATCATAGAAATGCTGCTAAAACCAGTTCAAAAATCAATAGAGTGGTTTCAGCAAGGTATCAGTGGTTCATGTCTATAATCCTAGCTACTTAAAGAAGGTGAGTTCTGAGGATCATAGTTCAAAGCCAGCCCAGGCAGAAAAGTTTGTGAGACACTTATCTCCAATTAATCAGAAAACTCTGGAAGTAGAGTTAGGATTCAAGTGGTAGAACACCAGCCTTGAGTGTAAAAGCAAAGGGACAGTGCCCAGGCCCTGAGTTCAAGCCCCACTACTGGCAAAAATATAAACATTAAAATAAATTGAATAAATATAAATCTACATAAATATAAATAAATATAAATGTTCTTAATTTTGTTGCCGTTTAGTCTCTGGAGGAAGAATCGGCCAAATGTTATTATAAAGGATTGCAAATTAAATACTTTAGGCTTTCTGAGTCACACAGTATGTATTACAGCTATTAAACCTATAGAAAATATGTAAAAGCATCTATAGAAAATTCATAAACAAATAGGTGTGATTCTGTCCCTGCACTAAGGAATCCCACTTATTTTGTTTGTTTTAAATCCAATATAGCTAGAGTTGATTTAACTCATAACCTAAACTCAATCTAGCCTTCAATTAATTTATTTTTTTAAAGTGCCAATACTCATGGTTTTACTATGTTAATGTAGATAAAATTTCTCTAAAATTAAGTTACTGGCTCTTTCTCATGTTTTAATTTAGACAGTATTAAATATATAAAGCATTTTGTGTGTCTGTCTGCCTGTGCCTGTACTGGGGCTTAAATTCAGGGCTCTAAGTTCTTGCTTGACTCCTGGCTTCTCACTGGTTAATGGGAGATAAGGGCCTTTCAGATTCTTCTGTCTGAGCTCGCTTTAAACCATGATCCTCACATTTCAGCCTCCTCAGTTAGCTAGGGTTACAGTACCAGTGAGGTTTTAAGAAGAACAAGAGTGTTAGAGCCTTCTCAACAGGTCTTCTAGAAATGTATCTTGCATATACCATTTCTGATAGTTATTTAGAACTAATAAAATTAAGACTGTTATGACACAGCACATGACTATGTGAAAGAGAAATGGAAAACCTAGGTCATCTTTGGAGTATTTACAAATAAGAAGCCAATTATGTATTCAGCAATATACACACAACACCCTCAAACAATTGTTTTTCTTTCCTTTTCCTGGATGCTTTTGTTCTGAAAGAAAAGTTTCAAAACCCATAGAAGCTTTCTGATCTTTGACTTCAGAGAGAATTTTAGAGCCTCAAGTTTACTGTTCATACTCACTCCCAAAACACGCCCCTGAAATATTCCCAGCTAATAGCTGGCTGACAAAATGATTAATGCTATTAAAACTGAAATAATTTACAATACCTTTATACAAAGTGGTAAACCACTCAGCAATGCCAAGTGAAGTAGTAACTGGAGGTTAAAAAGAATGAAAGGGAGAGATTTCATTAAAAGTGGAAACATTACTGAAAGTAAAATAAAATAGTTTGGAAAAAAATGTGCAAAGGTCTGGCAAGCATGTACTATGTTAAGGCAACAATCCAATTTCTTACTAAGGGAGTATAAAACAGAAACATAATCTAATGAAACCTTAAAAAAGAATTCTAACAAACATTCTTAGATAAAAGTTGCACTGCTTGGTTTTATAAGTTGCCTTTTTACTCCTGGTAGACTCCAGATGGATTTGAATGAAAACTGAGTTACTTAAAATGATTTAAAAGTTGTGTACTTTCCTTGTGTGTGTATGTGTATATGCACATGTACATATATAGATGGATGGATAGATGCTTATGTGTGCATACATGTATGTAAATCAACACTAAGAGAAAAATTTAAATGTGGTAAGCCATAGTCTCTCAAAAGAAGTGATAGAAGAAGAAAGTGAGAGTAAGCAAGGCGTCAATGTGATTCAAGTATAGTGTATGTGGGAGGAATATCAAAGTGGAAACCCCTTTGAACAATTAACATATATTTTCAAAAATGAATGCCTGGAGGGGAAGGGAAAAAACAAAATGCTTAAATAGAGATACAGGTTGACCCATTGTAACAATGAGATGTACAAGACACTATGTTGAAAACAAACTTTACAACTTTGGGGATGAGGGGTAGCTGTGGAGGTGGAGAGGGAAGGGATAGTAGGGGAAAAACAAAGGAGGAGGCAACAATGTTTGATAAGAAATGTACTCATTACCTTGCTCATGATGAATGACTGGGCCAGGTGCTGGTGGCTCATACTTTTAATCCTACCTATTCAGGAGGCTGAGCTCTAGGGATCACAGTTTGAAACCAACCCAGGAAGGAAAGTCTGTGAGATTCTTTATCTCTAATTAACCACCAAAAGACTGGAGATGGAGGAGTGGTTCAAGTGGTTGAGTGTTAGCCTTGAGACAAAAAGCCAAATAAGAGCATGAGGCACTGAGTTCAAGCCCTAGTTACCAGCACACACACACACACACACACACACATACACACAGAGAGAGAGAGATTAATAACTAAACATAGGTACACTGGAGCTAAGATTGCATATTAAGCATTAATAGTAAGAACAGATCTAGGTGACTGGAAAGAAAATATTAGCTAGTTCAATTTACATGGTGAAGTTACTTTATATATATAAAAACAGAACATAGCAACTTACTTTTACATAATGAGCATTTTCTTCCCAATCATTTCATAGGAGGACCAACTCGGTTTAATAAACACTAAAGTATCTTGTGTTTGTTTTCTAAAACGTTTTAAGCAAGCAACTAACGTTATTAAAAAGCAAAAGTATTTGTTCTTTTAAAGAAGCTTGAGGGAATGATCATTAATAGGAAAACTCAGGGCATTCTCATGATCACAAAACTTGGAAACTTTTCACCTTTTCAAGACCGTTTTATAAACAAATGCAAGGGTTTTTTTTGTTTTGTTTTGTTGGGGGTTTTTGTTTTGTTTTATTTTTTGGTGCTGTCATGAGGTTTGAACTCAGGGCCTGGAGCCCTATCCCTGATCTGTTTTTGCTTCTACCACTTGACCCACAGCTTTACTCTGTCTTTTTTTTTGGGGGGAGGAGAGGAATGGTAGTTAATTGGCAACAAGAGTCTTATGGACTTTCTTGCCTGAGCTGGCCTTGAACTGTCATCCTCAGATGTCACTCTCTTGAGTAAGATTACAGGCATGAGCCACCAATGCCCAGCTAAGACATGAATGCTTATTCTTCCAAATAGTGACATTATATGTGGCTGATATCTATATATCAATATATATGTAATTATATATAGATATATAATTTTATATATATAGATTATATAATTTTATTTTTTAGATTGAAAAACAAAGGACACCTACTCATGATCAACAAATACACTAAATGTACCTCAAGCCTGGAGGGCTTGACTTTTGAAGGAAAGCTTTTCAATATCAACTATTTGACATCTTATTTGGAGGATTCCTTTTCTTGTTATAAATACATAAGGCTATTATTTTTGGAGGAAGATCCACTGACAGTCAGTTTTATCTACCCTATCACTGTTGGATATGTTTTAGAACAAGAAAGTCACTTTCTTTCTTTGTGGGCTGAGATATAAAGCCATAATCTGATGTCATTTGCATGTGTGCCAGTACTGGAGCTTCTAACTCAGGGCCTGTGCTCTGTCCCTTGGTTTTTTGTTGTTGTTGTTTTTTCACTCAAGGCTAACACACTCCATTTCTGGATTTTTAGTGGTTAATCTGAAATAAGAGTCTCTTGGATTTGTATTCCTGGGCTGGCTTTGAACTGCAGTCCTCAGAACCCAGCCTCCTTAGTAACTAGGATTACAGGCATGGGCCACCAGCACCCAGATCATCCTTCAAGTGGCAAATAATACTATACTTCACTAATGCATTTTTTAAAAAATAACTAATTTTTTATTTTCCATTGAGAAATTTCTTCAACATTTCACATCAAACTAAAGGTTAAGAAAAAAGAAGAGAATTAAGAAGCTAACATAGCTAAAACCACAGTTTGCGAGTCTCTCCTAACATAATGTCATATAAGGGGCAGAATTGGATGTCCACCAGTTTAAGTCAGAAAGAGATGGTGTTATGTTTCTGAAAAATATAGCTCTTCTATCTCTTTCACAAATAACTATTTCCAGGTGATAGCATGAGTTGCTGATACATTGTAACTTTATAACTCTCTATGAAAGAATCTTGCAACATCTAGTATGTCAGATATCTTTCATTTAAGTCAAACTGGGACAATATTCAGACAACTCCACTTCTTGGTCACATGATAAAAATATTATAAATTACAAAAGGCAATGAATGTAAATGGTAAATGGAGGAGGTTGAAGAAGCATATCTGTGGGCAAAAATGTACAAGGGTTTTACTTCTTAAGATATTTTTTCCTAGTTTAAAAAGTTAGAAGTATTCTTACAAATGTTGGAACAAAGAACTGTTTGTTGAAATGAAAACTAGCCCAAGAGAACATAGAATCTCCAATGAGGATTGAATAAAGTATTTGGTAAGATACACATTCATACTGTATAGGATATTTTGAAGGGAAATCCAAATAAAGTTTTATACCCCCTTAATTATCCCAAAAAAATCTTTTAAAAAATTTGGATACTCTAGTATAAACATGCAAGCACAAATAGGTTCTTAAAAATAAAAGCAATGTCTCCAGGAAGCCCTTTCTCCCTTAATTGCAGTATTTTGCATTAAACCCAGAGGTATACAAAATTAATTTTGAGATTCATTGAATTATCTGTATCTGATTTACATTTTATTTAATGTGTAAGTCTGCAGAGGAAAAGTAGTTGAGAAGCCAATGATAAACAGTTTTAAAAAATCTTTGAAAAACAACTTCTATAATAAACAAAATGCCAAGTCATCAATTTCTTCAAATCACCAAATTTTCCTGAAAACTGGGGGGGGGGGTGTTTTGTTTTGTTTTTTTTGGTGATGCCAAGGTTGGAGCTTGAATTTAGGGCCTGGGTACTACTGTCCCTTAGCTTTTTCGTTCAAGACTGGCACTCTACCACTTGAGTCTGAGCTCCACTTCCAACTTCTGTTTGCTGGTGAATTGAAGATAAGTCTTCGTGGACTTTCCTGCTCAAGCTGACTTGGAACCTTGATCCTCAGATCTAAGTTTCCTGTGTAGCCAGAATTAAAAGTGGTCGGCATAGTGAGACATAATTTACTAATTCCCGTCTATGTAAACTTGCTTCAGATATTTCTAACCCTGTAATATTTAAGATTAAAAAAAAAAGTACTCCACCCTTCCAAGGATTCCAAGATACCTTGCCCTAACTATATTTGAGCCTCTCTCAACACTTCCGAGGGGGTTTAAGTTTTACGCATCGAGACTTCATATCATCCTATTGATCCCATTCCATAAGTAACCCCGGCGAGCTGGAAGACCAGGACAGGTTCTAAACACGTTCAATTCCATAAAGCCATTAGCAATAAATTTGATCTGGCAGATTACTTGTGACAATAGAAACTGCTGAAGAAAGCACCTATTAGTCACTCTAAACAAACCCATCGGGATTAGAAGAATGAGTTAAGATCGTCTAAGGACACAGCCAAAAAAAAGAAAAAAAAGAAAAAATTAATCCAACTGGATCTGAGTCTTGGAGCATTCTCTTTTCACCACCACTAATTTCTTTGCCTCTTATTGGACTCAAAGGTCCCCATCCTTCTTGCTACTCCCACCAAGTTAGGTTAAATTACTTAAAACAAACCCAAATTGCCCTTCTTTCCATGAATTCCTATTTCTTGGTGAACTTCCGAACTTCAGTTGCCAATTTGGCTGGTGGGTTTTTGTTGTTGTCGTTTTAAAGATGCACGCCATGGGAAATTCGGCCTTCCCTTCTTTGTGCCTTCTGTGATCCAAAAAGTGAGCGCAGAGAAGAACCAACCCTGGCACAGCTCTGTGACTGACTACAGGTCACCGCGCGCCTTCCTCAGCCACCCAGAGTGGATTACGGGGTGGTCGGCGCCAAGCTCAACACCTTGCGGAGGGCCAGAAACGCTGGATTTGGGAAACCCGGTGGAACTCGGGCATCTTGGGGAGGGGGAGAAGGGGTAGGAGGGTCCGGGTCTGTCCTTTCCAACCCCAAAGGCTCAGGGTTTCTCTGTCCAAAGCAAAGTCGTCCCACCACCTGTTGCAAAGGAGCTGGTGTGATGCGACGGGGATAAAAAGTAATCGCAAAACCTGATGTCCCCCAAAGTGACCAAGGGACTAAAGTTTAGCCCTCCTCCGGGAGGACCCCAGCTCCGTACCACTGGCGGGGATTTCCCAGCGTCCCAGGGCGCAGGCGCGCGCGGCTGGGGAAGGGCGGGCGCGCTCACCTGGGGCTGCAGACGGGAAGGCCCGGCCCGGCAGCCTAGGGCCGTCGGTCACCGAAGGGTTGAGCACCTGAAACGCCCATCGCGTGCCGTAGGACGTCCCCGCGGCGGGGCTGAGCTGCTCGGCGGCGGCCGGAGGGCAGAGCTTCAGGGGGACCGGGCTGGCAGGCAAGGGCCGGAGCTGTGCGCCCGGGGCGGGGGCTAGGGTGGCCGCCAGACCCTGGGGTGGGGGCGGCGGCTGCACGCCGTGCGCCGTCCCGGTCGTCGGGGCGCTGCCGCCTCGGAGCAAGTTCTCGATCAAGAAACTCTTGCCCAGGTTGCCAAAGCCGGGCGCCGCCGGGAGGTTGAGAAGCGCCGAGGAAGCCACCACATCCCAGTAGGAGCCGGGGTGGGTCGCCACGGCGCTGGGCAGCATCGTGCGCGCTGCGCTGCGTCCCGCACCGGACCCCGAGTGTCCCGGCTCCCGACGACCGCCGCGGCCTCCGATCGGTATTATTTGTTGGCCTTGGGCGTCTTTTAAGGAACTGGGGGAGGAGGAGGGACGGGAGGGGGGGGACAAAGGGAGGAGGGACCGAGGGAGGAGGCGCAGAGGGAGGGGGCGCGGAGGGAGGGGGCAGCTGTGCGTTTCTGTGACCCGCACGCAGCAGCAGCAGCAGCAGCAGCAGGGTAAGTTCTGGGGTGGCCCGGGAATCTATGCAGATCCCGAGGGGGGATTTTCTCTAGAAGGACGGAAGGTGTGTCCAAGCCCATTCATTCTTGTCACCCGGCCCACCAAGTGACAGGCGCGGCCAACAATCAGGGCTACCCAACCCCACAGTCGGGGAGGGGGCGGGGGCCCGGGGAGGGGAAGCTTGGAGCAGGAGGTGGGCGTGGAGTGGCTTTGCTCGGGACGTACAGGTCCTCTTCCACCGGGGGCCGAGCCTGGTCTCCCGGCTGGGACCCAGGAGGCGAGGTGGATGCGCTTGGGACACGTGAGCGCACTGAGCTCCCGACTCCAGGGCCCTTGGCTGGCCTAGGTCCGTGTGTCTCTTGGTGAAACTTATAGACATCCCTGGGACTTGAGCTGAGTCATAAAAGGGCTGTGATCCTCAACTCAGGAAGAATAGGAAAGTAGTACAGAGATAGCCCACTGTACCTAGAGTCATTAAGGACCCCATGTTTGAAAGTGGAAGAAGTTTTGCTAATGAATCTGCAGGCTCTCGGAGATGATTTGGGGAAATTTCTCGGTTTCTATGATTCATTAGAAGGTTCCGGTGTGGCTGGGGCACTCGTGGTTCATGCCTGTAATGCTACCTGCTCAGGAGACTGAGGCTCACAGTTTAAAGCCCGCCTGGTCAGATAAACACAAAAGACTTTTATCTCCAGATCACTATGAACAAGCTAGAAGTGAAGGTGTTACCCAAATGGTTACCGGGCCAGTCTAGAGCAGAACAGGCTATAAGTTCAAGCCCCAGTATCTATACAAGAAATAAATAATAAAGAACATTCTGGAGAGGTGTATGCAGGCCCTGCATCCTGGAAGGAATGTTCTAATAAGATTTAATTTAAAGAAAGATCACAGATGGAAGTTGTGCTGTGGCTCAGTGGTAGAGCTCTCGCCTTGAGCTGAAGAGCTGAGGGAGAGCGCTCAGGCCCAGAGTTCAAGCCCCATGACCAACAAAAGAAAGAAAGATCACAGAATTGAATTTGACCAATGACATTGGTCAAACACACAGAGGAAAACAAAGCCAGCAACGAGTTCTCCCTACTTGGGGTAGAGTGCTTCTCTGCAGAAAAATGGGACTAAATGGGAATAAAGACAATTTACTATTTAGGATTACAACTACTCTTTTTTTTTCTCTCCTGAAAATTTAAGTATTTTTCAATTAGTAAGTTTGCTAAGTGAAGCGTGGACATATGAAAAATATAAGATATGCTTGTGTGTATTACGTATGCATGCATGTGTGTATGAGAGAGAGAGAGAGAGAAAGGGAGAGCCAAAGGTTTTTTAACCACAAGACAACTTTCAAAGCTGCTCATTTTTGAAACTATCAATGGAGTGTTAAAACTGTGACTTCATTGTGATTTAGCACTTGCTACTGCTTCTTTCCTGCCCCAATTTATTTAGAATAAGGTTTTATAAGAAAGTCTGCAAAGTTTGGAGTCACATATGTAGTTTTACTCTTTATCCTAAAAATATTTTGCTCCCTGCCTTCAGTTTACTTGGAAGGTTGCCTAAAACTTGCCAGGCTGGATTTCCTTTAAAAAAAAAAAATTCTTCTGGAATAATACAGAGATAAGTGTGGCCCCTGTACAAGGGTGACACGGAAACTGTATATCTGGAAGATAGTTTGTATTTAGAAACCGTGTGCTTCTCCAGATAAACATATTAAATAAGCCATATCACAATTTAATGAATTCTATTCCCACATGTTCTTAGACTTTGGGGGGAAAGGGTGGTATTGGGGCTTGAACTCAAAGCCTGAGCATTGTGCCTTAGCTTTTTTTGGGGGGAGGGGGTCGTTATGGGGCTTGATCTCTGGGCTGGGCGCTGTCCCTCAGCTCTTTAGCTCAAGGCTAGTGCTGCTCTACCACTTGAGCCACAGCACCACTTCTGGCTTTTTTTTTTCTGCTTATGTGGTGCTGAGGAATAGAACCCAGGGCCTTATACATGTGAGGCAAGCACTCTACCATTTGAGTCACAGCTCCACTTCTAGCTTTTTGGTGATTAGAGATAAGATCCTGCTTGGGAAAGCAGGATCCTCAGATGTCAACATTCTAAGTTAATAGAATTGCAGGTGTCAGTCACTGGTGCCTGGCTCCTACAACCTTTTTTTTTTTTCCTTTTTTGATGGTCCTGGGGCTTGAAATCAGGGTCTGGGCTCTGTCCCTGAGCCTCTCTGTGCTCAAGGCTAGTGCTCTACCACTTGAGCCACAGCACCACTTCCATATTTTTCTGTTTATGTGGTACTGAAGATTCAAACCCAGGGCTTCATGCATGCTAGGCAAGCATTCTACCACTAAGTCACATTCCCACCTCTTTGCAGCCTTTTTAAAGTTGGGATTTATCCATGTCATGAAGATCAAAATGTATTTGCAATTTTCAAGTTGTAATTTCCTATGCATTTATTAAATTAGCTGTTGTTTTGCCATATTAAAAAGTGAGAAGGTTATAGCAAGAGGCCTTATGGCCTAGACAGACTCTTTTTCTTTTTCCTCCCCTCCCTCTCTGCCTTCCTTTCCTTTCTTTTCCTTTCTGTCTTTCTTCCTTTCCCTTTTTCTTTTCATTCCTTTTTTTTTTGAGGAGGGGTTGTTAAAGGGCTGTTTTATTACCCTGAATATAAGGAGTGAATACTACCATTTGTGTCAACTTTGAAAAGGGCTCCCAGGAGAGGTTAATGGGGGTGACTATGATCAGAGCACATTATGTAAAAATAGAATGAAACTGATAAAAGGGTGAAGGAGAGAAGAAAGCTGAGAAAAGGCATTATATATAGGTAAGTTCAGTCAAATTGTGTTATATGTATGTATGTAAATATTAAGAAAACTCCTTGTATATTAGATCTGTGCCAATAATTTTTTTTTTTTTTTTTTGCCAGTCATGGGGCCTGAACTCAGGGCCTGGGCGCTGTCCCTCAGCTCTTCAGCTCAAGGCGAGCACTCTACCACTTGATCCACAGCCCACTTCTGGCTTTTTTTTTTTTTTTTTGCTTATGTGGTGCTGAGGAATCCAACCCAGGGCCTCAGGCATGCAAGGCAAGCGCTCTACCACTGAGCCACCTTCCCAGCCCCATGCTTGACTCTTTTAATTACAGTTTAGTTACATCCTTTTCCCGCTGCACTTTAATTAAAACATCCTGTTAGAAGCTCCTTGAATTTTAGTTATATCGTGTTCCTTAAGCTGCAGACTGTGAACCTGGGCTCAGCCAATGGCAGCAAAGGGGTGGGGCTTGCTGGAATAGGGTTAAAAAGGCTGCAGCCTGCAGGTTCTGTGTCCTTGCTTGTCAGTTTCTTGGCTGCTGGTTTGCCCTTCTGCAGAAATAAACCTTGCTTTGCTGAGTTCCTTTTGAGTTGATGTCTTTATTCCCCAACATCCTGAGACATTTCTAACATGAAGTAGGACTATATCTCAAACTAGATGATTCCAAAGCTTTGTGCATAACTATTGATTTCAACTGTCTGCTTCCTGAGTGTGCCTGGTTACCACACTAAACTGGGACCTATAGTTTAAAACCACTAACTCCCTAAAACCCAGGCTGTGGTTTCCAAATATTCTCCACTACGAGAAACCAGAACTTCTGAACTTACATATACTCCTTAAATTACATATACTCCTTAACTTGTATATATATAAAGAGAGAGAGAGAGAGAGAGTATATAGAGTCTCTTTACCACATATACTGAAATAACTGGAAATATCTTGTTTATCTCTGACCGAATGAACTTGGACTATCTAGTCTTATAAGGAAGAAAGCTCACTGGAAACATATTAAAATGGCCAAACTAAAGGGGCTCCTGCTAGGAAAAGATAGGACAATTTATGTATCAAAAGGAACAATGGAATGGAACATAGCAAATAGGTTAAAAATTCACCAATTCTTTTGGAAAAACAAACAAACAAACAAACAGAAGCCAGACACTGGTGGCTCACACCTGTAATCCTAGCTACTCAGGAGGCTGAGATCTGAGGATTCCAGTTCAAAGACAACCCAGGCAGAAAAGTCCTGGTGAGACTCTTATCTCCAATTAGCCACTCAAAAATCTCAGTGGCCCAATAGCTCAAAATGGGCAATAGCCTTGAGCAAAAGAGCTCGGGTTTAGTGCCCGGGCCCTGAGTTCAAACTCTATGACCACCACAACCACCATCAACAAAAAAAAGTCGGGCACTGGTAGTTCACGGCTGTAATCCTAGCTACTCAGAAAGCTGAGATCTGAGGATTGTGGTTTAAAGCCAGCCAGCTGGGGCAGGAAACTCCATGAGACTTTTTTCTCCAATAAACCACCAGAAAGTAGTGCTGTAGCTTGAGTGTTAGAGAAATGGCCTTGAGCTGGGACTATGCCCAGGCCTAGAGTTCAAGCCCCATGAGTGACCAAAAAAAAAAAAAA